AAAAACGCTTTTTAAAAAACCTCAAGAAATCAACACCAAATGTTTAGAATAGAATACAATAGAATTTATTTCTCCACTTCAAACGATATAAATATGCTGATTCGTGACCACGTCAACAGAAAAAATAAAGTATAAATGTTAGGATCTACATATAAGCAGAAAACAGATAATATAAAAAAATATATGTTTAAGTAATAGCATTTTTAAATAAGAAACGTCTTGGATTTTGCTTTAAATAGCCAATGCATGAGGTTTAAATTTAACGTGTTGTCCAGGCTCACCATTTTTTAAAAATATTTAATGCCGTGGGTTTTGCTTAAATTTTGATAATGGTTGAACTAGGTTTGATTTACTCCATGCATCATAATTATAAATTTCGGTGAAGGAAAAGTATGTGTTTTATAGACGAAGTATCGGAAACTATAAAAACTCTTATAAAAGCTAAGATTCCTTACAAATACCTTATAAATATCCCTCGCTTAAATGTAAAACCTTCATAGATAAAGTAACGGAAACGTATTGGATCCGATATTATTCAACTTTTAAAATATTTTGAATATTATAAAACTTTCTTATAAAACTATAAAAATTTCTATAAATACCTTATAAATATGCGTTGCCTTATAATAAAACATTCAAAGTTACGGAAACGTGTTTGATCCAATATTATAAAACTTTTATTATATAATAAATATTATAAAAGTTTCTTATGAAACTATATCTAACAAATATCGTAGCCTTATAATAATAAGCTGAGCTGAAGCAAATTTTTTTAAATAAAATAAACCCTGTGCTAAAGAAACTGTTGAAAATTGTCACCACTAGATATCATTGCGAGTAAAAGTTTCCTCATTCATTACTAGAATGAATTTAGTAACACAACTGCATTGTTTGGGGTGGTCTTGTTGCATTAAGGGATGAACTTGCTGCACGTCATACAGCATATCAGTCCAACCCCAACCGAGAGAAATCCAGAGAAATGTGTTCCGTGCTTCATCGATAAATAATAAAAAGTAATAACTTCTATTTATGGCATGTTTTATGGCTTCTCTAAGTTTTTGATACAAATTTTCGCATAGGGACTTATTTGACTTCTTTGCTTCGCCACATCTCCTGTCTTTTTGAGTTTTCAAGAAAAGCGTTATTTCAGAAATTTGCTTCTTTAGTAGTTTCGGTTAGTTTTAGTTATTTAACGAAGTCTCATTTTTGAACATATTGTAGATTTTTCTCCAATTTGAAATCTAAAAACAAATTTTCAACCCCCGCCGCCCATGTTCTGCTTATCGCAGTCGAAATTATCCCTCCGAGTTGTCTAAACAGAGGTTGTTGCCGAATGGTCCCAGAGGGGATGTTTTCCTTAAAGATTCTAATGAAATTCTGTCCATTTTTCCAAGGTAAATTTCCCACCGACGCGACGTGGTGAGCCCGGATTTTCGTTCAAAGGAAATTTTATGGAAAATATCCCCTATAAGATATCGTTTTTTTTTTTCGTTCATATTTCAATCGCAATTTTCTACACGTTTCAAACACAATACGCCTTACATGTAAATAAGTATTTATTTTTTCATCTTAGTGAAATTTTAACAAAAAGGGAATCACGATTGCCAACGTACCATTTTCCGTTATTATCGACATTCACGCTCAAATAAATGATTTGGTATATGAGGAATTCAATTTCCGATAGTAGCATTCTTTTGATTGTCACCCCTAGAAAGCATAGTAGATGCCGGCGATTGTTTAATTTCAAGCTTTCTTTGCGTATAATGGCGGGTTTTATGGCGGTGAACAAGCTGAGAGTGTAAAAGAGGCTTTGTTTAGTTTTTTTATGACACTCCCGGGACACCTAGTAAAATAATTTATCATAAAAAAGATCGGCGATGTCGGTGCGCTATATATACATTCGGAACAATGCGCCGGGACTTTGAGTGCAAGACGAGGCGGCGTGCCACGTTGCCGTGTCCCAGAAAATAACTTTGAATAGCTGCGTCAGAAGGTTCCCGATTTTATTATCCTTGACAAAGGACTATAGCGGTCATAAATTCGGCGAGATAACAAGAAACTTCTTAACACTAAAAGTAGTTCCAGTTTCGCTGAGAAATAATTACAATAGCCACTTGGGAGGGAAATCTCAAATATTATGTAATTGAGATAATCAGTTATCAGCATTTGCGTTTTTCTTTTTGGAATACTTAATAGAGTTTGCAGTTTAGGAAAATAGGAAAATTCCATCCAGTTCCGTTCAATTTGAGCATAAACAATAAAATTATAAATCTGATACTAAGAAATAAGGTTCCGGCAAAACGAAGTGACTAAGAATAGTCCAAATTGGAGGCGAAGAGAGCTTTTTAAAAGAATGTTTGCTAACCTTAAAATCACTACAAAGCTATCAACCAGAATGCTGATAATAAAATCATATCTACGGTATTTTGGAGAGAAGAAAAAAAGGGGTGGAGAGAGAGAGAGAGAGATAGAGCGAAAAATTTACGCAAGCTAGCATTCATGGCGCATACAAAAGACTCCGATTTCATCTTCGAAAAATATTGAATTTGGAAATAATTTATAAAATTTATAAAATAATAGGAGATAACTGATGACATTATTTTGATGGCTGATTCTCTTTCATTTAATTTTCTCGTTATCATTACATTAGAATCAGCGAATAACGCTTTGACTCGTACGGCTTCTAGAGATCTCGGAAGACCATCAACAAACATGTTAAAATAATCAATTATTTAGTGGACTTGTTACGTAGGAGTTCCTGCAACGCCTTTGTTAAAAGGGATGTTTTCCGAAAGATTAAGATCAACTGCCGACATAGACTAACGAACTTAGTGAACCAATGCCATTTTGACATTACCATTTTTAAGCAACGTTATACATTTGTGAAAAAACGACAACATCGCATTTCAATAGCACTTATGTAGGACGTGATGTATCTTGTTTAGAATACACGGTTAATAAGGGTGTAACGAGTAGAGAAATGCAAGTGCTCGTTTTTTAAAAAGTAGAGTCGCGCAAGACGAGATGATATAACAAAAGCCACTTGCAATCGCGTAGGCATAATTAATTTTCCGTAAATATTGAAAGGTTTTAAAATTCACGTCACATCTTTTGATATTCGTTCGTTTTAAATCCGCAGAAGGATTCGGTATAGATTTTCCTTTTTGAATTGCACACGTCGCGATTGTGGCGCCTCAGTTCACATGATTCTACTCTAGAAAATTCAGCGTATTTCCATGTTTCTCTCGCTACGCCGAATCGCCTACACTATCCTCAAAGTGCGTCCAACTATAGATAATTCATAAAAATATTATGCCGAGAGAAATTTGTGAACTGAAATGTTTTTCCGAGATAGAATTTTCGCACTGAATTTTATGCTACGTTATAGAGAAAAAACCTTCTAGACGTCTGCCCGTCAGGAAACTGTATTATGGCGAAAGTTTCCATTTGACCGAGAAACTCCTTATTAAGCGGCAAATGTTGTCCGACCATAATTCATAAGGCAGCCTGCGAAGAATACGTGTTATATATATTACAGAACTGTATCGTTCTTGTCTTCAAAGCAAAGATATACGTGAGAAATTACGGCACGGGGCAAAACGTAAACATTCGCCTTGCTATTAAAAAAGGCATGTTGTTGTATACTCGCTTGTATTTTTACAGCTCTCTTCCAGCCGCTAAATTCCGCTTTTATTGTAAATAATTCTTTACCTGACAGAATAATCATCCGCGAGATTATCACGCTCCCAAATTCCATTTCCTGCTGCTATTGAGTTTTGCACGCCTAAACCGGGATTCGTTCCTAATTCACTTTTTTATTTATTTTATTACTAACACACCTGCTTTCGCAAATTAAAGAATTACTCTATCCTAGCGCATTCGCCCTATACTTGTCACGAAGAAAAACTATTTCATGAATTTCGATCAAACAATGTAAACTAACGTGTTCTTTTATATATTTTGAGGCAAGTATATAGCATTATCACGTAGTCATAAAATATTTTTATTACCTTCATACAATTTGAGGCGACTATACCCTGATTTGAGAAACTTAATGAACTTTTTTGTTCATATATAAGCGCGGTTTTGATGGGCGCCAGGTTTTTGTTAGGAAAAAAGACTGATCTTTGACTTTTTCCCACGTTTGAGATTTTTCGCTTATTCCTAGTTTTGGTCGGTACATTGTTTAACAATTTCCGTACCTATGTAAAGCATCATTTTATCGGTTCTATAGTAGTTGCCTTTTGTTTGCTATCGACGGAATTTGCTTTACCCGCCAGCTGACCCTTTAGCGGGTAAAATGAATATAAATTTCGTTCGTTTATGAAAATATCTGAGGCATTTTAATGTGATTATTTTACAGGAGAATTCGACTACGAGGGAAATTTATTTATTTACCACAAAATATGTTACAAAATAAAAGTTTTAGCGGTAGCTGTACAGTACAATTTTCAGGTCCTCGGCGATACGGCAAAAATATTCTCAAAAAAAAACTATATATCAAATAATTGACATATGGCGGGTGTGAGGTATTTTTCTGGTACATGAGTACGAGGTTTCTTTATACAGGGTATCTCTTTATGACGCGATTTTTAAAAATTCCCGTTATGGGTCATGCTTTTCCATAAAATGTTAACGAAAGGTATTTATTTTATTACTTTCTTAATACTGTTCACACATTATTTAAAGAGGGCACGCCAATTTTATTATGTACAAATAAAAAGATTATAATCAACCTTGATAAAAATAAGAAGCAACAACATTATATACATGTTACATACAATTAATCATTTTGCCATTAGTGGTCGGCGTCTAAATAGACAATTGGCTTAATCGTGATATATATGTATATATATATATATATATATATATATATATATATATATATATATATATATATATATATATATATATATATATATATATATATATATATATATATATATATATATATATATATATATATATATATATATATATATATATATATATATATATATATATATATATATATATATATATATATATATATATATATTCCTTTTGTTCATTGAACATACACGTTTCTACTTCCAACAATTCAATCTACGGTTTCGCAGCTGATACGTTCGAGTCTGATAAATATTAACATAAAACGCGGTAAATCACAAGAAGCTGCTGTAAAAATGACTAGTTTTTGACATTATTGTGGGAATGGAAAGTCTTCGTCGCAACTGGACTCTTGACTCGAAGGAGGCGTGTCGAGTTGCGGAAGACCCAAGTCCAGATATTCCTCATTCGCCGTGATCGTTAAAATCCTGTCCAAATCTTCTACCAATTCGGAAAACACCGGCCGTTCTCTGGGCTGATAGTTCCAACACTCGCGCATTAACATGTAGATTTCCAGCGAACAACAGGGTGGTTTTTCCATTCGATGACCGTTGCGCAATAGTTGGTAGAGCTTTTCCACGTTGGGAACTGACGGATACGGGGTGCCTGAAACGTAAAATGGCGAAGGTGTAAAATTAATTAATTTCGGTGGAAACCGAGAAACCCGTGGACAATGGACGTTTCGCACCAGATTCGCACTTAGCTAATAGAACTAATTTTACACGTGACGCTGTCGAAAATCTCGATAAAACCCATTTCGCTCGCTTTTGTGACGTGGAGAGTGGACATAAAGCATCGCGTTTCGTAATAAGACCTATTGTAAACAAAACTGGGCCGATATGTCACTGGTACATAATTAATTATCGAACCACGTCCATATTGTATTTAGTAAACACTGCGCCCTTGAATCGAAAAATTTGAAATTATTAGATTATAATACTGGGGCGACCATATCAGTGTATCTAAAGATTTTTTTTTCAGCATACCTCCGAGAGTCATTATTTCCCATAACAAAATGCCATAGGACCAAACGTCGGATTGAGTGGTGTATAGCCTGTGAAACAGCGCTTCCGGTGCCATCCACTTGACCGGCAGTCTGCCGTCTGTGGTTTTTCTGTAATAGTCGTGGCAATTGATGTCCCTTGCTAACCCAAAATCGGCAATCTTTAGAACGTAATCGTCGCTCACTAGGACGTTCCTGGCGGCTAGGTCCCTGTGGATACACTAAAACAGACCTAATAAAGCACCGAATGATTAAGTGCATTACATGGTACCCTTCTGGATGACAAGTAGTCCATGCCTCGAGCTACTTGGTAGGCGAAAGAAACCAAATCCTTTTGGGTTAAAGTTTTTTTTTCCTTCTGTTCGGCACCGACGGCCACTTCGTATCCAGACGAGGGTCTGTGTTGCCTCAAAAAGTCCCTGAGGTTTCCGTAGAGCGCGTACTCAACGACCACGTATAGTGGTCCGCCTTGAGTACAGCATCCGATCAAATTAATTATATTGATGTGCTTGCCGATCATTTTCATCATTTCCATTTCGGACACCAAGTCCATCATCTCGTTGTCGCTGTTCCCTTCTGTAAATAACACGTCGCATCAAATTCGAATCGAGAGTTTTTAGGAGCAAATTACCTTTTAGCATTTTAACTGCAACGACACACTTGTTATCGGGCTTTAACAGATTTAGGGCTTCTGCTTTGACAACTTTTCCGAATGCCCCTTCGCCTAGGGTTTTGCCCAAATGCAGCTTGTCTCTGGGTATTTCCCAATCGGAATCCATCGGAAGTTCGTATTCGGAGATCATCCCGTCGTTCGTCGCTTGGGCCTTTTGTTTTTCGATTTTTACCACCGGCATCAACTAGAATTTTCATATCGATAATATTTACGCGGTACCCGTCGGTATCCGGGAGGTTACCAGTGGTTCCGAAGCGTCAGACGTCGTGTTCATTTTTTCGATAATCACTTTTTTCGTCCAGTGCGTTATGATGGCAGCTCGAGCGGTTTCTACCGCTATCATTTTCTCCCTCTTTTCCCTAAAACAAATCCAGTAAGACAAAAATCGACGGATCGAGCCAATAATCACGCACCTTTTGATTTTTTGACGGTAGTATAGACAAATGAAGACGATTACGAACATGACGAATACTATTACGACGGTCACTATTACTGCGACCTTCATGGCGACATTTTTCAATTCTTTCGGATCGGCTGGAAAGATCGTTCCATGCGGGATATCGGTCAGTAATTTGCATAGTTTACTTACGAGGTTCTTCGTCTATTACGTGGAGATAGGCTGTAGATATAGTCCGGCCTAGGCTGTTGGCAGCTAGGCACGCGTACCAGCCCTCATCGTCGTGACTTACGTTCGTTATTTCGTAAATTTCCGGCGTCAGGGTATTGCCGCTTTTCTAAATAATCGGTTTTTGGAAAATTTAAAATCGAAACGTGCACGAGCTAAAACTTGTGACCAATCGGACTAATAGCGTTTGGTCGGCCGAAAATAATCATTTTAGTTATTCTTCTAGGAACGGGAACGTTAGTTAATGACTATATGGCGGCCGTTGTTTGTCATGCTGCATGCGGAACAAATGCCGAGGTTTAAGTGTAACCTTACTCTTAGTCGGGTTCAAAGTTTAACGTTAGTCGATTTATTAATAAAAACGTATATGAAAAATAATATACCTGCACCACCACGGTATTGTTTTCGAAATCGCTAGAATTAGTATGGGTCCAAGTAATAAATTGGTGTAAGTCAGACACGAACTCGCAAGCAAACGAAACGTTGGATCCAACTGTAACCGTCATGTTTTCTAATTTCTGTGTTATTATCGGCTTGTTGTGATACCTTTCTAGAAATGAAGAAAGTGACGAAATATTACCATCACCACGTTGAAACATCGACTACAACAAGAATTTATATAACATTAACCAATATTTTGTTAGTAGCGTGAATTGTTCAGATAGAGTCAATCATCAAAGGTTGGTATTTGACAAACCACCACCACCACCAAAACCACACGTCGGTTCGAATGAAAATTCCGCCACCCATACCCCCGAATGTTCAGTTTCGGTATACCTGTACTATTACACCATCGGGACTTTCGTCTTTCATATCGGTGGCGTTTATCGGTATTCGTATCCATTGAATGTAGGGTTCCAAATCGGCAATGACTTGGGGACACTCGAAAATGGCCGTGCTGTTGACCATTATGGTCAAATTTTGAGGATATCCGTCTTTTATATACGGTTTTGAGGGGAATCGTTCTGCTCATCGAAAAATTGTGTTGAAATAACCGACATGAATTTAAAACAACCGAATTGCCGAAGAAAGTTTGTAAACTAATGCGGTTAGTCCGTCGTATGGCGTTTATCAATAGGCTCCTCGTAGATTCGCCGTTTACTTCAATCATTTTTCGCAATTCGGTTGTTTTCGCATTTTTCGTTGATCTCGCCCACACGTGTGTCATTTGGATTATATGAAAGGATCCGAAACGTTTATTATCGTATAATTAAAGAACTGTTTATCCTCGTTTCCTCAAAATTTGGCATAGGCGTTCTAAAAATAAGAAAACCACTTACCCACGACGTCTACGTTATACGTAAAGTTGATACAGCCCAACACGTTGCAAACCACGCACGTGTAATTGCCTTTATCGTCGGTTACCAAATCTTCTAACGTTAAAGACCAATGGTTGATTTTAACTTCGCCAAGTTCACGTTTTGGCGGTTCGTCGTCTTTGTACCACGTTATATTGGGGGTGGGGTTGCCGTTGGCTTTACATTTCAAAGCCGCCATATTCCCAGCGGGTTTTATGACCAGTTTTTGCATCTTCTTTAAGAAATACGGGAATTCGTACACGTCTAGTTCGTAGGTTTTCACTTTTCGGCCCTTAGAATAGCACGCGTAGGTTCCTTTATCGGCGGCAGTTAAATTTCGAATTTCTAGTATCTCGTAAACCGACTGAAAAAATCGATATTAAGTTAATAAAACGTACGATCAAACGCGTCTAAGTGACCGACCAAAGTTTTGTTTTTGTTTTCCAGCAATTTCCATTCGATGTTTTCCGTTTCTGGACATTGGAACGTCACAGATCCGTTAATACGGCCCACCAAATTTTCAACCGCTTCCGATTGAGGCGGTTTCGGGTAATCCAAATACTCTGCAATCAGAACGAACAACAAGAGAAATGAAAAAGGTCTCTTCAACTTTGAATTTCGCCGGATGGAAAATATCCTTCCCTTTATTATAGGATCGTTTAGAATTCGCCATTAATATGCTGATTGTTAATCAACGAAATCTGGCTCGAAATCTGTTTAATTTAATTTAAGATTTATAATTTCCAAGTAAGCGTCAGGGGCGTGCAAACCGTCTGGGACGGCCGCGTGTTGTACGTTGAAGTTTTGAATTGAAGTTAATTTGCCAATTACGCATAATGGAGGCCCCATTCTTTTTATTTAGACGTCTCGTCTTGGCGCGTTATTTATTTTATTTCGTGTTGAATTCAAGCAGCGGCAGCGTGATTTACCTGTGGGTTCCACCGTTTCCGTTCTTATGACGTACGTCGTCATTACAAATATGAACCATAGCTTTTTCGTCATTTTTCCTGCAGCGCAAAAAAATCTGAAAGGAAAACACATATTTAAGGGGTTTTGCGCTTTTAACAGTTCGTGGTCGCTTGTTAATTTTAGCGTCACGCTGTCAATAATCACGTTCCCTTTTTTACGACACGGTTGCCATCAAATTAAAGCGGCGAATTTATGGGGTTTCGAAATTGAAAACGTGATAATCGACGCCAAAACAAAAACTATTTTTAGATTTTAAGACTTGTTTGAACATCGACATCGAACATTTACAATTACTGCGTCGAAATTAGAAATAAAATCGAAAAATAACAAATACCTAGTCGCCAAATTCAATAAACGTCCGGGCATTTTTAACGCGCAACCCCCAGCTAAAAATAGGGGGCGTGATGATTGCGAGTAGCGCACAATGCGTGGGCGTGGTTAAAAAAATATTTATAGCAATTAAACAAAATGTTTACCTTAACTAACTTCGATTTTCGATAAGCAAATGATTCAGATGCTTTAAAGGAAGCTGAATTTATTTATCTAAACAAATTTCAATTGTGAAAACATTCGATAGGTTTTGCAACAAAAGTCAAACACATAAACCTCGTCCTTTCCGCATTCAAAAATTCTTTAAAATAAATTAATAAATAAATAGATAGAGTCATTGGCTCAGGCACACTCTTATACCAATACCGAAGCCGTAAAAGGGATCTGTGTACCCTCTGACGCTACAGTGGCGGCGAGTAACAGTTTTGTGTGTTGGATGTACATACCTGAGGGCCCTAGGACATTCAAAAATTGATTCGTCATTGCTTTCGTCACGTTTTATTGTAAAAAAAACAAACAAAAAACAAAATATAATAAATTTAATAAATTGGTGAACGAAAAGTAGGTATCTAAACGTTTTGTTCGATATCAAAATATATAAGTATATCAAAAATCAATCAAACAAAAATATACACAAATAACTATTTTTTATCAAAAATTAAAAATTTGTCAATTATTGCAAAAAATAAAAAACTAACCAAAAAGTTTCTCGTCTAGGTTTGGATTAAGGGCTATGTAATGTAATGATTTAAAAATAAGGCATTCCTGTCCTATATAGTTTATCGTTAATATCATTCTTATACAATTTTATTAAAATGTTTACTTTCTGTTGTAAATCGTCCTTATGAAGTTCAATGAGTCGGGTTAAAATCGATCAATCCATAAAACTGTGCTTATCTAACCTTTTTTGCATTGCGTTATTACTTGTATCTATAATAAAATAAATAAAAGTTAAAATCAGAATTTTCATAAGGTGCTATGGAACTGTTGTCACCGAGATCAAATCAGAGCGTTATTATTTGTGAATGAGATGTGGATGAGCAATATACATTTATTTGTCTATCTGTTCTGGCCAGGGACGAATCTACATATACATCTTCATCTTGAATTTGAATATCTTTAGTTTGAACTTCAATATTGGTTTCATTTTTAGTTTAGTTCGATTCTTCTTTAATTCTTTAAATAAGCGAAGAAACTGATTATACTAGTACTTTGACTATGAAACTAACTCAATAAAATAATTCTAAATATAAAAAGCCTTTTTAAAGAAAATTCCCCAAGCTACTCTAATACTATTTTCAAAACTTCTGGATTCCTACGTCGTTTGTCGAACCCGAGTCACTGAACCTAGAATTGCAACACCTTACCTTTCTAATAATTTTCACATTAGAGATATTAAGCGTTTCATAACAAAATACACTTCACCACAACCTTCCAAACCAAAGACAAAAGTTCTTAAGAAATATAAAAAATCTCTTCGATCCGTCAAAGACAAAATCCCGTTTGAGATACCAGAAGTTTGCAGGATTCCATGCATATGCGACAAGGACGAAAGAGCCTTAAGACTTAGATACAATATTAACCACGACTCAGATCTCTACCTTTCCCCAATATAGGAATCAGTCGCCTAAAACAATGTTCATGCCCCTTCTTTATCTCCGCCCCCTCAAACATTATATAAGTATGTATTTATTATTTGGAAAATATCGCTGTATAAATTCATAAAAAGCGGTCCCAATTTTTTTCGCCTATTGTGGCTCTTTTTCATAGATTAAAAAAATAAATAAAAGGATTGCTGTGTCTATTATTTAGTAGTTAAAATTTTGAATAATGATTAGCTTTGATTTAGATTGGGTAGCACCTAGGCATACAATTTAAAAAGGAGCAACAAAAAAAAGTAATATAACACTTTTATTTTAATTTTTGTACGCCTTAAGGCAGTTGCCCCTTGGTGCCTTAGCGCAAATCAAAGCGTGAACGTTCGCCATTATGCATGGAATGCAAATTTATTTTCATTTTTCGAAATTTTAATGCAAGTATATGGAAAGCTATTAGCTTCAACGTCATTAATTAATTAAACTTTCGAATTTATCGTAAATTTCCTGTTCTTGTAACGACACTGAATGGTGTTTTAAAATTACACAGCACATGTGTTTCACACGTGCGATTGTTTCGTGTAGCTCCATAGCTTCGGGGCAACGGGACCCCCGCAGACCTCACTACCTGCGTTTATTTTTCCACCACCGGCGTGTAGTTGCCAAATATTACAAAAAAAAAAACACAGTGAAAGTGTCGAAATCTCGACACATCCGGCGATCATCTTCGCGCAGAAACAATGTTTTTATACGCAACAAATATACCCCTCTGTCGTATGTAGGATGTATCCAGCGAGCTGTCAAACTGTCATTCTTCCAAGTCACTAATTATTACACCGAAAAAGATACGCCCTGGAGTGGAAGCAATTTATCAGTTGAAAATTTCGAAAAAATGACGGTAATTAAAGGCGTCTTTTGGTATTTTTAACGTCGATGCGGCTATTAATACGGCGTTTTTCTCTTTTCTCCCTCTCTCTCTAGCGTTTCGTTTTATTTTCGAAAATGTTCTTTTTTGTCGAAATCTAACAGGCTCGTTGAAAAAAATTGATAACGCTTTTATAAAACGGACATTGGGCCGATTTTGTTTGATTCCCTAAATAGCTCTCTCATCGCGTAAGAGCCGGGATAAAAACATCCGGCTATATGTGGATCCGCCTCCAGAAACGTCTAGTTTATTAATATTATTTTTATTTATTTACTCTCAGAACTATCTTCCTGTACGGCGTTGCGTTTTCTGGTTTTATGATTCACTCCATGCCAGACGATATTTTAGATCAACGAACATACGTAGACGTATTTGTATTGTGCGATGCGACGGTTAGTAGTTTTAATTTCTGACCGTAGATAAATTAAAACAAAAATATTACTTTCAAAATTAAATCGGAACAGTGACCCGAAAGTAAATCGCCTCCAAAATCATGCGGCTGTTTACAAAATTCACAAAATTAGACCTTGTATCTTTGCCAACACTCAAAATTGCTAAGAAATACATCGATAAAGATACCAAAACGGCTCTAATTTTTTTATTATTGGTACGGGCACGGGTGTCATGTAAACAAACTTACAATCACGGGAGATTTACTATATGGTTCAGATAGAAACAGTTAAATAATTCCAAGTTTCCTAAAAGCCTTTTAAGACTTTAAAAGTTCCGCGTTAAAGTAACGACCCTGCTGGAGCGGGCGGTTCTGTTAACTCTTTCAAAAACCCTTTCGTAGTTTAAAAATAGTAAATTGAATGTTGAAGATGAAAGAATAAAAATCGTTTATTTTTAGTGTAAATTAAAACCTTCCAGGGATTTTTCCAAACATTTCTTAAATAACGAGTTGGTTCAATCATTTTTGGGAGGCCATAAAATGGCTGTTAAAATGAAAAACGTAATTTAATAATTCGAATATCTAACAGTTGGACACCCCTCTGATTTTGCTGTTTTTTCTTAGTGATCTGCCCGAATATATCTCGAATGGCAAAGTTTTCCATTATTGGCTCGATGGCATAATAATTATGCTTTCTGAATTAGCTGACGTCGTAAGAGTTTGCATTGGAAACCTTTAAAATCACATAATATTCACTGCAGTATTTGCTTCATATTTCTTTTACCCATGTTCATAAAAACAAAGCAGTATTTGACTAAAATTTTATATTAATCGACAAGAAAAGATAACTATTTGACCCAGAAAGTAAGACAAGTGGATTGAAATGAGGAAGAAACAGCCAATATTTGACCCAGAAACCGAAGTTTTAAGTTGATGATAATAAATATTTTATTGAATCGCAAATATTTGCTGATTTACTTCCCTATTATTATTATTATTATTATTATATTAAAAAGTTAAAAAAACAGCTTAAGACATTTTCATCTAACAAAAAAAATTAAAATATATTTAGATTAATTCCTATCTAAAAATACAAGAATTCAATAATTTGCCGCCTATTAGAACAAGATAGCGTATCATTTTATTTTGTAAATAAAATGTTTAAGTACAAATTTTTCGGGTGCATTAAAAATGACCGCGCATACAACTTTTATCTCCTAGTGGGTTTGAAAAATTTAATAGAGATTTTAACAGAACCCCGGCAGAAGTCAGTACTTCACTTTGAATTGATGACTGCAGGCAGCCAGTCCGAGATACTTGACGACTTATAAATTATTGCCGCCTGTTGGTTTTCAAATATTTTAACTTGAGATGCGTATAGAGCCGCTCCAGAATCATAAGAAAGTAACAAAAACGGATTAAAGAAAGGAAACACGGCATAACCACTTTAGAATGGAACGTAAAATATTTTTTCGGTAAAATGTTCTCACAGAAGTTTAAAATTCATTTTCATAATTTTCAAAAAGATCAAAACAACAAAAATTTATGTAATTTTTATTAATTTATCGTATTTTATACTATACCATTTCCAGAGGGCTTTAGAATAATTTACATAGGTTGACCAAAGTTTAAAAACATATTGTTATTCCCACATTATTAATCGGCATTTTCTTTCTTAAAATTTATGGATAAATCGTATATAATTAGCCCACCCCCTTTTGGGATGGTTTCTATTATTAAAAGGAGAAGCATTAAATAAATGAATTGCCTTTCAAATAAGCACGAACTTCAAGGTCATGTCAAACTTTGCTTAATATAACAATTTGTTAAATGTGTTATATATACCTTACACCCTGTTTGATATACATATATACATACATATCAACAACACTGGCATCTCTTCAAGCATTTTTTTGTTAATCCCTCCCTAAAATGCTAAAATTACTGGCTTAAACAAAAATCGTATGACAAGATTTGGTGTTCTTCTATCAGCTATAGCTTCAGGAAAAAAAAATTAATAAAAGTAATTTTGTTAGTTATTGCACTGAATATGAATATTGAATTAGATGGTTTGTCCTTTATGACGGAGATATTGATAATGCTATGGTACCCGCACGGCAACTAAGATAGGATGCTAATTACAAATTACTCAGTTCAAACCAAGCTAACAAAATGTTTTAATAGCTTTTACTGGCTTCCTGTAGTTACCAGGGGAAGATATATAATATCATCAAAAATAATATTATAATATTTGTGAAAAAATTAAAATAATATTTTCTAAGATTTTTTTCATTGAATTCAGGTTTTTGCTAAGTTTTTTTTTCTATAAAATATTAAATTTCTATTGTCCTTTGATTAATGTTTAAGTGATACAGAGAGGACACAAATTCAGTCGCCTCTAACTTTGGTACATAGCAATGAAATTAGGGATGGTATTATATGAGACAAAGTGTTACATGAACCACTATTCCATAAAAAAAATAAACCGAGCCTATGTAAAATGGAAATGTCATTTTCAGCAGAAAAAAAATGAGAATTGTCTCGTATTACAAATTCATGGCAATATGTCAAACGACTTTATATCCTCACTTTATATTACATGCCACCTGACAATACATAGCTTTTGCGTATTTTGAATGAGTTTATAGACAGCTGACAATTTCGCTTTTTTTCCTTAAAAATGGAAGAGTGTTAATTCCCACAAGACTAACATTTTTTAGAAAACTATTTTATTTTGCATTGGCCCGATATAAAGGTGATATAAGAAATATGCCCCGATGTCGAACGAAAGGTTGCTCTGTTTTAAATTGTCAATATTTCATTACTACTATGTCATTCTGGGGCGGCTATACCTGGAGATGATTGACGATTGAACATTTCAAAATGCGCAAAACTCAGCAAACCTGAACTGACTCATCGACGTCAAACGCATAACAATTTTGTGTTGCATTATGCCCGTGCCTTTTGTCGCTTCCTACGATAAGTAATTAACACGCCTTTTGTCGCGTTGCATATTCGTATTTTATTGTTAACCATCACAATCCCGTATTTACTAAAAGCTTTTTTGTAGTTCCGAGCTGGAACGTACAGTTCCTTTCACGAAAGACGACACGGGACATTTGAAAAACTTTCGACCCTATTAATAACGTTTAAGAGTTAAACTTTGTCATGTCCTCTAGACATGTGGGCTTTTTATTTTATTAAATGCGTAATTTTTATTCGTTACTTACAGCGCGCTTTACGTCGAAGAAACACTATTAACGATACGTTGTGACGGATCACCTTGTACATCAGCACCGAGCAAACAAGGGTTTTACGACGAGAAATCTGCTAGACAGATTTTACCGTTCATGCCATCTGTGTCGAAAATTTAGGGACCAAGATGGCTTTTTTACACCTAAAACGAGAAAGTTGCCAGAACTAGCCGAATGGTACATCGATAAAATAACAAAACCATATAAATTCCCATATCGAACTAAACGATCTTCGTAATTATCGAAAGATAGGCATAACATTTAATTTAATTTTCGCGTAATGGACCATTTATGAGAGATGTCTTCCAAGTTCGAATCAGTTCAACGCTTTTGCGATAATTATTTTATTGGTACTAATTAAATTAGATTTATTTATCGACTCATTTCTAATCGATGCCATTTAAAATATTTCGCGGAAAATTTCCACATTTAGCACGTTTTTTTTTTGGCAAAAATTATACTTGATTGATTCAAATTCTAAAGCGTTGCGTATTGTAATTTTGGTTCTCTTGGAAATAGCAGGATATAAGGGGAGAGCGCGCGACAATGATATTCAATTTAAATCGATTTACCCTGGACCCATTACTCAATCAAAGAAGCTAGTTAAGCTTAAGTTGCATTGTATTTCTGACCTGCACGTTTATTTCTTTATATACCATGTGGGTTCGAAATTAATGTAATTATATCATAAGTAGCTCTTAATACTAGCCTATGTCAATCGTTTGTGCAGTTTTGGCAGCAATTTCGAATCTCGAATAAGTCTGGTAGATATCAATCGTGTTTTAAATAACGGGTCAATGTCGCACTAATAATAGACCCCTATGTCGAACGCAAACATTAAAAACGCTTTACGGCTTTATAGAAACTAAAAGGTGTTAAAACAATCTTAACTAGTCAGAAGGCATTAATAGGATTTTTAAACTAACAAAAGATCCGTTTATATTTCTTTACTAGGAACTCTCGTAAACAGGACTTTGATATACTCCGTCTAGTTAGAAGTATCAGGTTGCTGTATGGCGTTGTCCAAAAGACTGTGGGAATTTTACGCGGAATTTGTATTAGAAGAAAACTGATTGCTTTTTTTAATGTAATATCGTAATTAGTTGTAATGTATTAAATCGCTTTAATTTCATGTATACAAACCATCAAATTTAATGGAACCGTTAATAACTTGTGGCAGACTAAACACAACAAATTTCCAACGTTTTTCGTCCGTTTCGTGACCATAAAAATATAAGAATCGCATCGATTTTTTCTGAATGCAATCTTCAATATCGACAACCCTTAGAATATCAGTCAACTATGCTGTCGGCAGATCACAACCTAATAGAATGCCGGATATCGTTTAACAAGCTATTCGAATCGAAGCTGCATAGTAACAAAGAACAACTTTGCAGTAGTAAAATTAAACGTGCTCTTAGTTCTATAACATCGAAGGTTTTAAGAAAGTGTAATAAATGTAAAACGTCCGTTATATATAAGTTTAACTCCGAAACATCTGAATCTTATTTTTCTTGTACTCTTGGCGAGTTGATATAAAATTAATTTGTAAAAAAAATCCAGCAATTAAAATGGTCTAGGGTTTTTATTTTTTTTTCTTTCTGTGAGATCAGATTAACGTTTTATATTTTCGAAAAATGGTCGCATGCTCTGGCATATATTATGCAGAACCAAGTATCGAAAATCTTTCACGAACAAATCGACGTGTAGCCGGTAAATTATAAGCGAAATCTTGGATCAAACACCGGATGTCACTTAACAACCAATTCGAATCTCAGCGCTTATTAAGATGCAACAGGGTTCGTACATGCTTAAGCTAACTCTACTTAATATGCCTTCGGTATATTGTTGTGTACCTTCGACGATGAATATTACAACAATGGCGGCTGAAAAATAACTAGCTTGTATTCCAGGCACGAAAACAACGGTGACGATTTATTGTGATGTCCGGTTTATATCAATTTTTAATTGCCTAGAGTAAGTCACTGTAACGTTTATTTCGCTTAGTTTTTGGAAAATATTTTTTTACCAATCACGGGCAAATGTTTTGTAAACAATTATTAGCGAAGTATCTTCTACCATATCCATTTCAAACGACTTTGTTCCAGGAAGGTGATTTACCACCCAACAGGGGTCGTTGACTATCTCCAAAGAACGTTTATGAAGTACCAGTACCTTGCAGCACTTACACGTCAAATGTTAGTGGTTTTATATCAATTTTAATATGAATCACTCCGTACGTTAGTCGAGATCCAATCAATGCAGTTAGTTCAAACAAACATGAATCACGATTCAATCGGCAAATTTGCATTCATCTCAATTGACCAGCAAAACTGTAAACAGATAAGGCTGCAGTAAATGAATAAGATTAATTGCGCGGTTTAGGGATTCAAACATTCGAAATGGAAACAAGTTTTATATCGGTGCTATTTACATAGTTATAAAATACTCTGAAGCATTTAATCTTGCGCCGATTAAAACTAGATCATTTAAAACACACGTAAAATCGGTTGTTAAGAACCAACGACAAACAATGTAGTCAAACAAAACAATGGACATATTTGTTTTAGTCTGTGATTTATAATTCATAATCAGTGCGCGTATTTTCGGCCGTACGTTTTATGCCGCATTAACAAAAATACATATTTCACTCTTTCAATGCCAATCAAAATTAAAAACGTGACTAATAGGCCTGAAATCGAGCTTTTTAAACAGTGGTTCTCAAAAATCGGTTGGGTTTGAATAACCGGAGCGTTAATTCATTTTTCTGCGTCGCGTCGCCTCAATTATTTTTATTTATATAATTTTTTGATTTGGACATAATGATAATAACAGCCTGGATCGGTTTTTATCAGTTCTTCAAATATTTGTATTGTCCCTCTGCAGATAATACGCCGTGTGCTTTGCCATCTCGCAAGGCCAACATTTTTTTCCAAAGCATGATTAATAAAAATATTAAGGCGTAAACTCTTGAATATACAAGGAAAGGGGAAATCTAGAAACTACCCTTTATAGCTGTCGTTAGGTTACGCGATTCAGGGTACTTGGGTTGGAGAAAAATGAAAAATTGTGCCTAAATATGTATCAATTTTAACAGAGACTTTGAAAATTTACTTCCCGTGTGTTTTTATCTGTTTTTCATCCTCATAATTGTCTAAGATTTGGCGCAAATATCTGTCCTGTAACTATATCGTCGTTAAACTATTGAAAGAGGAACTGAAATCGCGTTACTAATGAAAATATGATCTAAACGTCCGTGTTTTGTTTTCTGCAGCGATATAAGTCTGTTTGTGAATGAATGTTGTGGGCAATTCGATACACTCCCTTCTCATTTACGTGCCGTAAACCATATTGTTTGATCTTGAACTACATATTCTACATTGTATGCACGTACAATAACGTAGTGTTCAATTTTAGAAATACGTGGAACATATGGGTTCTTTCACTTTGTTTTGCGTACGACATAGTTGCAGGTAACTGGCATTGAATTTCTTATTTGTTCAATTATTCAATAAATCTTTCTTTTTTTAGATCAGTTGAAGGGAAGAAACTAAAGCTTAATCCATCAAATTTTGTTGTAATTTTGTAATTAATAACGTGAGATGTTCGAGGTAAAGTAAGCTTTTCATTAAGCCCGTTAGCAAAATAATCAGAGCGCGCTAAAAATATCGCGAAAAATTTTGCGAATAAAGAAATGCGCCAAAATAGACATCGCTAGGTGAACGTGTATACAAAACACAGCGATTCAGTCAGTCGCGTTTCGATAAATCGCGACGGTATCACTGAACTTACCTCCGAAAATCAGTAACGGGTTCAAATATACAGTCAGTTTTTTGGAAGCACCGAAATCACCGTAATTAAAAAATTCGTTCGCACTCGAAATGAATCGAAAACATCATTACGTAGAATATATACGGGTATATCTGTGAAGCGCGGCAGACGACTGGGTTTAGGGTGGGCACCCAATGTGACAGTCCCTTAGAGAACGGCCCTAATGGCTCAAGCTCATCTTTTTAGGTGGGAGTACTACCACGTTGCGACGCTGGCGACTGGCGGACTTCTGGCCGGCAAGCTCTACCGATCCGCGTCTATTTTCTACCGCGGCACTCGAATGTGTGGTGCACATTGCCGTTGCTTCTGCAAATAATTATCATCAACCGCGGCTCTTTCCAGATGCTGTTTATAGTGTGTGCTGTTTCAGTCTTGACCTTAGTTTTCAGATAATTTAACACTAACCGCGTGTATTGACCGTTTATACCATTGATTTTATAGCGAGACCTCTTAATTCATCGCTTTAGTGGCAATTCGAAACATTTGAGACGAAAAATATATAAATAACAATGACATTAGCATTTTTATTGTTAAGGCCAACCGCACCACTGGACTCCCTACTGCTTATAAGTTCTTCGGTTTGAATTGAATCAAATCTGCAAGAACCACAGGCTTACTGGGGGTTCGGAAATTATAATATTAAATATTATACCAAATTTCACATAAAACCGTTAATGCCTTGGCTGCCCACGGCCTTCAGAAAATGTTCTCAAACTTTTTTATTTTTAATTAAATTAAATTTATCATTAAAAAAAAAGTTTAAACATAAGCTAAAATTAATGGGCATCGGCAGTCAAGACTCACTGCGACTCAAAGGATCTCTCTATAGCTGCAGAGCCATCTCTCGATTGGCCCTCAAATTGGCCTAGCACCTGTGTGCATAACTGTGTTTTACCCTTGGCAGAATTTACGTTCAGTGTTTTGTTAAACTTCCATTAGAATTAGGTGCCTCTTAATCCGGCACTTGCTGGTCAAATTGGGAAAAACTTTCATATATTTAAATAAATTTCAACTCGTTTATTCTCTCTCTATTTACACAAGTTTTGACCGAAATATGTTTTAAGAGAAAGAAAACTAAATCGAATACAAGCTCCATTAGGCTACTCGGTTTGTTTTATTTTCTTAATTTTAGGCGTAAAAACGTTACTGATATCAAAAAACTACTTGCTCATTAGTACTATAATTATTTTGTTAAGTTTTACCATTTTACAATTCGCAAAATTTCATTTGAATGTTTTACACACCTCAACAAAAATTTTTCGATTATCCTTCTCGTTGACTTGAAGATTGTTCGTTTGATTATGTACTCCCTGACTCCCCCCTCCCCCACCTCGTGCCGAGTAATTTGTTCATTTGACATCTGGAACAAGTTGAGGCCGATGAGTATTTATTGTGGTGAGACAGTGTTTTTAATATTTCAGTACTGCCATATTCGTCTTGCGTGTGTGTTGATTTACTTTTTAATGCGGTTCGGGGCCACCCCTTGTAAGATTTATCAGACGCCCTTGCTGCGGATAGGTTATAAGAAAATGCATTTGAATTTTAAAATAGGACCAAAAATTGTGCGTTGCGTCGGCGTTGTCACATTAATTTTACACGTAAATTTAACGTCGACAGCGGCGTGACAAGATTAGATGCATTTAGAAGTGTAGCGAACAAACCACGAGCTAAAGATATAGTCCTATGGGCACCAGATAGACGTATATAGCAGGTAATGGCGGAGGCGTATATATACACGGTGTGTCGTTAACCGCTGATGACATCGGAAGTGGGATTGTTTCGTTAAACATTTTTTTTTTCAGAACAACAAAATTATAAACCTATAATTCTGTGGAAGACGGCTGCCATATTTTATTTGCAGACTATTAAAAAAGCTCGTTAACATAAAATTGAAGGAATTTATGTATTATCACGTTTTTACTTGATCCATACGCGGACGACATTTAATCCGGTCTCGTGGCAGCCGGATCTCCCTTAATTTTTTTACATTTTTGTCGTGCTACTAAATTTTCTACCCAGTGTGCGTGGGTTTGCTGACCAAAAATAATTTAATTGTAATTATACCGTATACATTTCGTATAGACTGGCTGGGGATATCCAAATAGACTAACCCGGTTCAAATAAATACTGACCCAAAGGTTTATTTAACCAAAGGCCATTTTTTTGCGAGTTATTTTTATTAACTGACTGACACGAACCAGGTGATTCTCGGGCTAAATAATACTGAAATTTTACATCAACAAACCACGTCCACCCACTCCACACGTAATGCCACCATATACAACTGGCCAATTTTTCAATGTAATAATAATAATAATGACCTGAAGCCACCGAAATTAAATTATTAGAGGTGGATTAAGAAATATTTTTGACAAATGAAATTATTTCATTTTTGTATTTCGTTCCTATTTCAAAATGAAATTCTTCGGTATTCTACCAACCTAATTTTATAATCAGTACTTCATGTGTATGTTACTAAATTAACTAGACAGGGCGAGCAAATAATAATAATCTTTTTGGTTCATCGCATTGAATTGTAAGGCACTTTTGAACAAATTAGGTTTCATTTATGGAGATTAAGGGGGAAACCTTACTTATTCAGAAAAAACATACCTGTAACAAACTGGTTTTCATCGCTCCCTCTAGAGGGCGCCGATTCAAACATTTATGGTTGGTTTAATGTTTCTCCGAATGTTACAATTATTTCAACATTAATTGGCAAGAAAAAACATTCAAAGCGCATATTACCAGAAGAGCATTTTTAACAAGATTGCTTTCGAAAAATCGACGGTTGGCAGGGCCAGTTCGCAGCGCGTAGCGCGAAGCAGCTTTGTATTTTGAAAAGAAATCGCTTCGCAATTTCTTGTCCTAGAGAGTATGATTTTTTCCAATAGAGTCAGTGGTTTTCAAGAAACTACTTGTTTTCTGACACCAAGCAGTATGTGGTAATAGATTGAGGGCGAGAAATGGTGATTTTCATTTGAATTTTTCTATCTGAATATCTCCATGATAGAGGAAAACCAATTGGCCATATTTCCCATGAATTTTGATTTACGGTTTTCAGGGTCTTTTAGATTTTTGTCTATAATTGAAAAACACCTGTATATAATGGAAAAAATGCCTGAAATAAAAGTTATGTAAAAAAAGAGCAACATTGGAGCCACTTAGTTTAAACGGCTCGAGAGTTATTGAATTAAAACCCGTGACACAGAGAACGGAGAACGCAGAAACAGAAAAGAAAAAAGTTTTTTTTCGACGCTGATTCGATCTATACCAATGGCGGTCCTGTAGGACCTAAAACATTTCCAAGTTCACCTCTGATAATTTGATTTTTGTAGCTTCATCCCATTTAACATACCTACTATATGTAATTGTTTAAGTTGACCATGCAATGGCAGTGTAAAAGTGGCCACCACGTATACGTATTCCTTTAAAATTTGGAGTTATTGGCTCAATAAAACGATTTGGTTTTTATTTTAACGCCGTCACGGGAATAAAGTTTTCCGCTTGGTGTGTCGAAGACCAAAAACCATTAAATCGCTTTACTGCCATGTTGAGATGGAGAAATGTTGTTTCTCCATCAGGACCAATACGAATTTATCGGTAATAAAAATTCAATTAGATAATTTTTTTAAGAAGCTGGGTTATATATATAATACTGAGTCCGCCCCATTTCTTCCCATTCGCGGTTCGCTATTGTGAAGCTAATATGTGTGTGCGTGCGCGTGAGTGGCTATAATGGTTAATTATCACAAATAACCCTGCACTTTGTCGTAAAATATACTCGCAATATCAAAGCAACATTTCCATGGGACTTTAAGCCGTATGTATATACGAAGACTCTCGGAAATATTAAAATGATCAAAGCGGTATGGGTGCACTTTTTAGTCGGTAAACCCATTTTGCTTTTATTCGTATATCGCACTCTATCACAAAACGCGAACTCTGTGGAGGCATCGTGCCAAAAGTTAATAAAAGTACAATCTACCGTGTCTCCAACTGTTGAGCATCAGTGTTAAGGTTAAAATGCCAGGTGGACATTATACTGTCGTCAGACCTCTTCGCTTTAATATGTAGGCCAGCCATACCTTTTGCTTGTTTTGTTATAACGAGAGAACACCTCTTTTTCTAGGACTGTCAATTATTTATTGGTTCATTCTTAAGTGTTTTCATTTCTGCTCGTGCTTAACTCGTACAACGTACTTTGTTGAGGAGCGCAGATCAATTTTTTAAAAAGAAAACTTTATTTTTTTATTTACTATTTAGTTTACTTTTTAGTTCCTTCCAATTTTAGATGGAAACTTAAATTTGTAGGAGTTTTTTCGAAAAAAATCTGAAGAAATTATTTAATTAAATGGGAAAACTTTTGGTCGTTTAAATATAATATGAATTATGTAGTCTTGTATGTGGATCAATATTATCAGAACCAAAGAAACTGAATATCGGAGCTGACATTGTATGGTCCTCTTGTTTGCCCATTAGGAATAAACAATATTTTTGACATTTTAAATATCAATTTGAAAGTTAAAATTTGTCTGTTTTGCCATTTTGTTAGTTTTATCTCCCTATTAATTATCGTTTTAATCTCCAACGTCGCCGGAGACTGATGTGATTGCAAAGGGTTCATAAACCTAACGCTTTCAAAAGTAATTTAAGAGCATGACACGACCTTGATCTCCATCTAGGCATAAGCGAAATCGATCTGAACATTATTACTAAATGAGTTGGTGACAGAATTCCTCTTGAAAGAGGCAATTGTGAGCTGTTGGTGAGTACTTATTTAATATTAATAATTTATTTCCAAAACAAAATAATACTCGCATTTAATGACATTTAACTTGTTGCATTAAAAATGTTAATATTTTACAGTTTTGGTTGGTTTTGGTTAATTGACAAACTGATTTTGAATTTTAGAACCATTCAAACAAGTTGAAAAATTTTGTTAATGTTCCAATTTATTAATAAAGAGTTATTTATTAAAAGCATTTATTAGTGTAATTTAAAACTGCGCTTTATCATTCTTCAAAGTTAAATTTAAAAAATTTAAATTTGAATACCAAATGAACATATTACTTATTCCAAAAGATATTACAAATTAATCTAATGTCCTTTTTATAAATGATATTCATCTATTTTACTTCTTAATTGACTAATGTTTTTTATTTAGGAGATTACTATGTATTGTGTGAAAGAAATAATCAGAAAAAAAGAGAAAAACAAATAAACGATTACGCACAAAATGTGCACCTTGTTAGTGGGCTAGTTACATTATAGTTGCTAGAAATTAATTATCACCAATATTACTCAGTTTGAAAAC